GGAGGGTGGAGGGACAGCGCAGGAGGGGAAGACCCTCTATGAGATGGATTGATTCGGTGACTGGGGTAATCGGGATGGGTGTGTCAGAGGCAGTGTGGTTGGTGCAGGATAGAGCAGGGTTTAGGGCTGTTGTGCATAAGGTCGCTAGGAGTCGAAAACTACTCGACGGCACATAACAACAACAACCTTCTCTAGAGCCTAGTCCCTTGGGATAACATGTCCAACATACTAAGATGAAATCTCACCATCCTCCCGTCTGAAGAGGAGTTTAGATGTACTTCTCCCAAGACAACTGTGTTAATTCATCTGGATGCCCATGGTATAGTCAATATTGCTTGTCAACATGATAATTCAAAGCAGCTCTTCTTTGGTCTTCCTTTGTCCAGCTTCTAGGGCAAAAGAACAGCATGCACAAAAGCATGGATACATGGTGTGTCGCAGAAAGAACAAGCAGCTGGAGGAGTAAGTTGTTATGAGGCTAACTAGAAGACTAGAACTTTTTGGAAGTATTTCCCAACAGTATTAGTCTCAATAATCAGATATTCCTAGCTTATAGGCAAGGATGGGGCCAAGGTCAAGACCACAGTCAGCCTGTGAACAGAGGCATAGACATCCTATCTGGATGTGGCTCTGAGAGGCAAGGCTTGATAAGGAATGGGAAGAGAAGAGGGTAAGAATAAAAGTGGCAGGAAAAGACGGGGCATGCTGTCTGGGAGAGTACAGAGATGGCCCCAATTAGAAAAGAAGAAATGGAGTGGAAGGAGGTCAGTGACTGTGGGATTTGAGGTGAAGATGATATGAAAAAAAGCACTGAGGCCTTTCTGGGTCCCACTGGTGAGAGGCCCCCCAAATGTGTGCCCTTGCTGCCCCTACCTGATATTGTCAATCCAGCAGTCAATGATGACTGGTAGCAGCATTTCGAGGTTCAGCCAGAGCGTGAAATAGTCTTCTGTCTTCTTGGAGCAGAGGTAGTGCACAACTGCCGGCTTGTCCAGCTTTGCCTCCAGCTGGTTGCCCAAATCACCAGGCACTGCAGGGAGCACAGGACATGCATGAGGCCCTAAGCTCACGAGGCTGGAGACCCCTAGGGACACTGGAAATGGTAACAGAGAGCTCCCAAACCAAGGCCGACAGACACTATAGTTTCTCTCTTGTGTTTCACACCACAAACAGGGCCAGGATTTTGTCTCAAAGGTCAGTCCCAGCTTCAGTTTCCCCTCCTATACCCCCTAGAATCTCCACACAGAAAAACAGCCAAGATTGTGTTGTCCCAAATAGTTCAAGAGGCAAGAAAGCAATTGAAAAGATTTTAAAAAGAAGTGCCATTTTGCTCCAGGGAGATAGTTTTGAAGAAAGTCTCCTCAGTTTAAAATCCCTTGTTGTGGTTTGCCTCCAACCATGCAGTCTACCTGAGCCTCACTCCTTTCTGTGAACATAATAATTGGACCTTCTGACCTTATACCAAGGATCCCTTTTAAAGAAATGAGAAGGAACACTTTTAACTATTTTAAACTTTAACTGGGCTACTACTAGGTTTGTTCTGAATCAGATTTTATTTTTCATCCTTGTGGGAAGCTGAATAGAAAATTTAATATTAATAATAAACCAAATGCTATATCAATATATGATAGAGGCTTAATACAAGCTAGAATTCACCCTGTGGCACTAAGGAATTCTTTAAGTGTCAACATAGATCTTAGTTTGTATTTACTGAATCCCTCCCTGAGATAAACAGAAAGTAAACAATAGAGGAACTTGGTCTTATCTGAAAAAGACTTCTCCATGATCCCTTGTTTTTGTTTTGTACTCCCTTATGATTCCTTTGTTTACCTTCCTGATGATTCTCAGGAAATACTCAGAGAGGCATGGCTTGAGGCCTTCAGTCATGGGAACTGCTGCCCACCCCCCATCTTTATGTTTCCTGTTCTATCTCATTCTTGGTAGTCTGTCTCATTATTAATAATTATAAAAATACTTTATGCTTGGTCTGTAACACACCCTTTCTTTACATGACATGCTGTATTAAAAGTACTTTCACTTCGAGATGGTTCCAATCAGAAAAGCCAGCATTTAGCCAACGCTAAATCTACCGAGTAGATCTTTATGAACCATTAAGTTTGGCAACACAGTATGCAACTCATGTTGCAACAGACCACCCTTGTGCAGATCCTTTGTTGACTCTTTTATATGGGATGCTAGCCTGAGGAGCAAGGGAGTGGCAGGCAGGTCCTCAGCCCAGTTCCAAGATAGTGGCTAGAGGGTAGAGTTAGAATTAAAAGTAAGGGGTTGAATAAGTCCATGTCTCAATTTTTCCCTAGGTCCTTCTCTGAGGCCCGTATCATCTGTTTAAAGGGTGAGTGAGGGAAGCCTCAGAGGCCAGCCAAGAAGAGCAATCTTTTCCCCAAAGAATTTCTTTTCAGTAATGCCCTTTGGAACCTGTGGAACTGAGGAGGCGAGGGAGACAATCTCCCAATGAAGACAAGGTCAATGCTGAGACCCGTGGGAAACCACCTCAGAGGCCACTGGTACCCACAAGGACTTCAGAAGTGGGGGGCCTAAGTGCCTAGGTCTTTTCTGTTAAAAAAATGGGACCAAGGAGAGCATCAGGGGTTAGGGTTAGGGTGATGCGGACACCGCAGCCACAAGCAACCGTCTGGAAACCCTCACACCCACCCCTATATACTCGACGAAAAATTGGTGGCAGGATCACATGTACACCCAGCAAAGCAAGAGGTGGACTGATGCGGTGACAAAAGGGGTAGACAGTAATGCACTCCCCTACTTCGCGCTCAGAAGAGATGCAGCCGCATTAGATTGAGCGGCTGCACCGCGTCAGGCAGGCGGGAGGGGCTGCCCGACCGAGACCCAGCACAGAGACCCATCAGCGAGCGCGCGCCTCACCTAGCACCACAGGGTGATGACGTCGGGCAGGCAGCCCCGGATCCGCGAGCAGCATCAGCAACAGCAGGAGATAGAGGGCCGAGCGGTTAGGGCACAGGCAGACACCCATGGCGTGAGCGGCAGACGCGGACTGTGCACGCGAGTTCTACTCCTTCGGCTCGTGCTTAGGCCCCAGCGCTGGCGACGCCCTTAACCCAGCCGCTCGCAGCCGCCCACAGCGGACCGGCCCCCTAGGGCCCGCCTCCCACACACAACCTGCCAATAGAGACTCGCCGCTAGGCGCGACCCTCCCCGCCAAAGCTCAGTGCCCCGCCCCCTGCCTACCCCTAGGCCTGCCCCCGCGACAGCGCTGCGCGCCGAGCTCATCGATCGATCGAGGTGCGGTTGGTCTTCCCCGGGTCTGTCGCCGTCGGGGCGGACTCGCTCAGAGCTGCCTTGGAGCTGGATCAGCCAAAATCGGCGGGTTCCTGCTGCCTCTCCAACTTAAAAGCCTCCAATACTGGCCTTCTTGAGCAGCAAAGGAAGAAAAGACAAAGTGTGCCTGGACAGTTCTTATCCCTTGAAAGACCAGGACTGACCTGACTAGAGGTGAAACCCCTACTCTGGTTTTTATGCACCCAGCTCAGAGGTCACCGAGGCTCGGCAACCGCCCCCCTCCCTAGGAACCTTACTTTTTGCCTCCAGGTTAGAGGTGCGGGTAGGATGAAGAGAAATTCCCCCATTTTAGAAAGTTGAAGTGTGGGATCAGCTGACCAGACAGTGCAGTTGGGACTCAGGGCTGAACATTAGACAGAGTTCCCCTGAGGATCAGAAGAGTCAGTGTGAGCTTGTAAACTCCAGCCACCACCAGTCTGAGGATTGGTTGGGGGCACTCTCCTTTCTTAAGGTACAAATATCCCCTACCTCAGACCCTGGCCCAGGGTCATCCCCATAGCCATTGCTACACTCATTTCACCTCAAGTTTCAGCAGAGAGAACTGGTGGAGACCCTGTGTGGAAAACCATAGAGATGTTTCTATCAAAGCTAGAGACAGCTGAGACTCTAGGAAAAAAGGTCCAGTGAGTATGTGTGGGGTTTCCTGGACCCCTTGACCTTTGGCCACAGATCAAATGTCTTGCTGGTCCAGCAGACTCTACTGATCCCAGGCCCCTCTCAAGGTGGTCCTATCCTCTGCTGAAGTTCTTTGGTGTCCAGTCCCATGGGTCAAAAATGAATATGTAGTGTAACAAGTCAGTTGTTCAAAATTACTTTCCTGGACCATTGCCCTTGACTTTGTCACATAGCTGGGTGAGAACAAAGAAATAATAAGGTGTGTTAGTCTATCAATAAGAGGATTGGCTAGTTTGACCATTCCAACAGGTTTAAATAAGTAGGTTCAGCAGCAGAAATTTGGGCCTTTCACTACCAGGAGGGAAGAAGCAGAGAATACAGCATGTGTCTCTTAGGGCCAGAGATTCCTGTGCCAGTCAGCCCTACGTGAGAGCACCATAGTCATAGAAGAGAATCAGACCTGATTTGAGAGAGAGCTGACTTGGGACTGCTGCCGCATGGAACTCCCTCCAAGTACCTTCTTCTAAGCTTGCTGGAGGATTGAAGGTGAGATGACTTAATTGACAGGACCAAGAGAACTTTGTAGCTGGCCTAAAACCTCATGGCTGAAGAGCCCGTAAGCATGCTTACGAGCTTGGCCTGAGAAATTGTATCATGCTGGGAACCTGAATTGTATCCTGTTAAGTTCTCTAATATACCTCATAATTGTATGGTTCTATGTGGTTTGTGTAGCTACAGAAATGAATTTGAGACCCAGTAGAGCAGTAAGATTGGTGTTGGAATTGAATTCGTAGAAGTAAGTTCAAGAGCTATGGGGGATGTCTGACCTCATGCAAATTGGTTTTGTATTCTGGATGCTATTATGGGGACACCTCCCCCTTGAGGGGTTAGCAGGAATCAGATATGGCAATCCCCACGCTGCCTTTGCTCTGTTTACATAATACCTCTGGGGAATGCTGATGCTTGGCCAATTGAACCACAATGGCACTGTAAAGAAACAACAGAACAGATGAGGGGCAGAACTGTTGAAAAGGAATGTATGATTAGGCATTATTTGTATGACAACAATCTTGGAGAAGGGGTGCGTTGGGGAGTGGGCTGAGGAAGAAGAACATGTGCAACAATTAAAAAAATAATATTTGAAGGGAAAAAAGAGAACAGCAGTCAAAAGGTAAGGATTCCTCCCTTCCACAATGACCCCTAAGATCCACCTTATCACCATGGCTGCAGATGAGGGGTAACTGGATCTCAAGCATCTCTCAGACCCTCAGATTCACACCTAGGTCTTGCCACCCCTACCTTGCCAAAGCCAAACTGCCTTTTATCCTTACAGTAGTCATCTCATTGATGTCCCAACCATGTCCTCCTTCCATGTCATTTCTCCCGTAATCTTCACATTTTAACTCTCTCACCCATAGTGAGGACCCAACAAGGTCCTCTGACCTTATTTCCCCTACCTCTCTCATTTCTCTTATTTCCACTAGCTCTCTGTCTAGCTTCAGTGACTTCCTTACAGTCTAGAACAGGACTTTATTCCCCTTTGGGACTTCTACCTTTGCTGCACTGGAATCACTCTGCAGCCCACAGCTTTGGGGACTTGATTGAGGTTTTAGGTTTTAATCCTGTCATGGCCCTTAAATTGAAGTAGTCTCTGCCAGGCTTCCATTAAAATACAATCACTGTTGTCAGAGGCCTGACTTACTTGCAAAGCAAGATTAGCCCTGTACTGTGAAACCAGCAAGACTAACTCCATCTTGGCTAGAAAATCTGCTTGGCAATATACAACTCAAGGAAGCAGGATGTTAATGAGTAAGAGTGACCAAAGGTCTCAGACCTTAGGGAATGTTATCTACCTAAACTCTTTGTTTCTTAGAGCACTCAATAAGACATGCTGTAAAACGTCTTTCTTTGTATTGTACTGAGATCTGTGAGAATTAATGTTTGACCTGAGAGTCAACATCTCGGACAAAAAGAGATAATGCGATGGCTACTGCAGATGTGCTTCTAAAAACCTATATATGCTTTTGAAAAATTACTATTCGTCATCAACGGGGTAGTCTCTCTGAGTCTTCATTCATCCTCGTCCCTCCTCTCGTGGAAAACCGTTTAGATATATTGAGGCTGGACCCCGATAAACTGTAAGAACTTCCCTGGTTCAGTGGCAAACTCAGTACAGAAAATGCTTAATATGTATTGAATGAATGAGTGGCACACCCTCCACCCCTTGAGTCTCCCTTCCAAAGATCAGAGCTGGAGGAGGAAGATAGGGGATCAAGAACCCATCAGGGCAAGAGGTAAGTTGTAGAAAAAGTTGAGAAACAGGGAAGGTGTGCCTTTGGAAAGGAACTTTCTGAGCAGAGGCTGGAGGTGAGAATAAACCTAGTGACTGAGGTGCCAATCGTGGTATCTTCAGTAGGTTAGAACCCAGTTGTCTTTCTTCTGTCTTCCTAGGTTTCACATATACCTTTTCCACCAAGTCAGTGTTTGAGTTCACTTGCTACAGAAGGTTAAACCTGCAGCTTCCAATACAGATTGCATCTTAAGATCAAGAAAACAAAAATCCTTGCCACTGGACCAATAGGCAACATCATGATGGATGGAGAAAGGACTGAGACTGTCAACAATTTCATCTTACTTGGATCCACTTGGTGTACTTGGATCCACTTGGTATCAGCAGTCAGGACATCAGAAGATGTATTGCACTGGGAAAGTCTGGAGTCAAGGACCTTTCCAGTTTATTGAGGGGTGATGATATCAGTTCAAGGACTAAGGTGCACCTGATTCAGACCATAGTCTTTTTAGTCACTTGCTACACACACGTGAGAGCTGGACAATGACTAAGGATGACAGAAGAATTGATGCCTTTGAACTGTGGTGTTGGAAGAGTGCTAAAGATCCCATAGATTGTCAAAAGAACAGATAAGTCTTGGGGAAGGTGCAGCCATAGTACTACTTGTAGGCAAAGATGATGAAGCTTCATCTCACACACTTTGGCATGTTGGTAGGAGAGGTTATTCCTTGGAGAGGGACATCATGCTTGGGAGGTGGAGATACAGAGGAAAGGAAGACCCTTGACGAGGTGTGTTGACACAGTGACTCCAGGACTGATCTTGGGTGTGTTGGAAATTGTGCAGATGGACAGGATAGGACAGTGTTATGGTTGGTTGTTCATAGGGTCACTATGAGTCATACTCAACTCGACAGCACGTAGCTGCAACAACAACAACTAGGACCAAGACAATTATGCTGATACAAAACCTATACCTAGACCAAGAAGATGTTGTCTGAACAGAGCAAGGGAACACTGCATGCTTTACAATGAGGAAAGGTAAGTGTCCGGGCTATATCCTTTCTCCAAACTATTTCAATCTGTATGCTGAGCAATGCATTTCAGAAGCTGGTCTCTGAAGGATGTGCTATCAGGATAGGAAGAAGACTCATCAACAACCTATGTTATGCTGACAACGCAACCTTGCTTGATGAAAGTGAGAAGGACTTGAAATAACTTGCTGCAAAAGATCTAAGTCTACAGTTTTCAATATGGGTTGCATCTCAATATCAAGACTAAACTTTTTTTCATGTAGGCAACCAAAATGCCATCAAGACTGGGGAAGACCCGGAAACTTAGGGGCCATGTGAGCCACAGCCATGGCCACGTCAGGAAGCACCCTGGAGGCTGAGGTAATGCTGGTGGCTTGCATCACCACAGGATCAACTTTGACAAATACCATCCAGGTTGTTTTGGAAAGGTTGGTATGAGACATTACCACCCGAAGAGGCATCAGATCTTGTGCCCAAGTGTCAACCTTGATGGACTTTGGTCAGTGAGCAGACAAGGGTAAATGCTGTAAAAAACAAGACGACGGGAGATGCTCCCATCACTGATGTGGTTCGATCAAGGTTACTACAAAGTTTTGGAGAAGCGAAAGCTCCCAAAGCAACTAGTCATTGTGAAGGCCAAATTCTTCAGCAGAAGAGCTGAGGAGATTAAGGAGGGTGAGGGGCTGTGTCCTGGTGGCTTAAGGCTGCGTTAATTACATGGAAGTTGGTTAATTAAAT